TTACCCCGTGTGGATTCCCCTTGTTCACCAGCTGTTTCCTGTTGCTGTCATTAGTTCAATGTATTTAGTCTGCGTTTCAGTTTGTTTCCCCAGTCCAGTCATTAACGTTACGTGTGTTCTATAGTGTTATCCCCGCAAATAAAGTCCTTTGTCCGTATCCATGGCTTCCCTTGCCTGCTTCCCAGTGCGAGTCGTGACATATTCAGCACAAACTTAGCACCAATAATCTGAGACCATTTAGAATGTCATTCATCTATTTTTTTTACATGACTTTTGAGAAACATAAATTAAATAAAATGATTGTAGCCTTATACATGTCTCATAAAGGTAGTGAAGCAGATGCTGGTGATACCACAGATGCTGGTGCACCGTCAAGAGCTGGTTAGGCAGGTGACGGTGGGAGATGAGGGACATCCAGAGGCGACAACGAGGATGGTGTCTGGGCCACTGCGGGAGGCAAGGCAGGACCAGGAGATGGAGCCAGTTCCTACGAGGTACCTGGCAAGCGGGGCCGAGCCAGAATTCCTGGTGGAGCACAGCTGGGCCCTCCCAGGATGGCCAGGGCTGAGCCAGGGCCCCTGAAGACAGACCGGGCTGGACCAGGGGTTCTGGAGATGGGCAAGAAGGAATGGCCCTCTCTGGGTCTGGTACGGGGATAAAGCGGACCTCTCGGGCCTGGGAGTATGGGCAGCAGCGGCAACGCAAATGAACTTGTGCAAAATTAATTTTTGAAAATGAAAAAAAAACTGAATTATTTTTTTTAATTAAAGATGCTGATTAAGGGGATGTAACAAAATTTAAGATTCATGAATTAAAGGGCTGCATAGTGCCTTCTGCAGCCTGGCCACAGCGTGGCATTCGATTGGGCCTCAGCTCACAGCATGGTAATGCTATGGTAACCACAGCCCATTACTCTATAACCCCAGGAACCACGTCACCTGACCCCGCAAACCTGCTTCTACCCCCTCAAGCTGCACATGCCCCCAAAGCCTGGGGAAGTGCACTCACATGTGCACACAGGCACGCCTACACCCAAGGCCACACGTTTAAAAGCTGAAGCGAGGTCACTTCCTCTGCAAAACCCCAAGACAGAGACGCCCATCGTACTGGTAAGGAATTTTTATTTTATATTTTAAATGTTTCCTCCATCTTCTTCTCACTTTTCACACACAGCCAAGTCTGACCCAGTTTTCTGTCGCTGAGGCCATTGCACACACACTCCTGTATGCCCCCCCCACTTCCTGTCAGTAATTGGCCAGTATTGCTTGTATGTGTTTAGGAAAAGGGGGATATGTAGCTATTTACCTGTATGAATGCCTGTCTGGATGCTCTTGTTATCTGCCAATATGCCTGCAGGTTGCACACGCTTCATGATAAACAGCACACATATCCACCTATCTTTCTGTCACTGTGACCATAGTAACCACACTCACACACTACATTGTTTCTCTTTTTAGTGTTTGTATTTTATTCTTCTGACAAATTGAGCAGAAACTGTTTTTTTACAATATTAACAAGCAAAAGAAATGATTTCTGAGTATCTAATCACCTGAGGCCTCGGGACAGTGGTCTGGGCATGTGACTGTAAGGACAGGATCTGAATCCCGTTCCGTGACTAAAAGAGCCTGTATCTTCTCCCTCTTCAGGTCTTTCAGGCACAATGAAGCTTGTTCTTCTCCAAACACTCTGCTTCGCTATTCTATGGGTCAGTGTGGCCCCCAACCACAGGGGTGACATAATGTACGGGCTTTCCCAGGCTGAAGCCCAGGGGCCTCCTCTAAAAAGCAGCCTCACCAAGGGGCTCCAGTTGGGAACTTCTACTGTCGCCACCCCACCCCCCGCGGATGACAACTTTTACCTTGGTGGGGGCTCTGAAAACCCCCGACCCTGCATGCCAGCCAGGAACAACAATGCCTACAACTTCTTCTTGGCAAAGCATGTCCGCATTGACACCCCAACCAACGAGGACATGGAAGCATGGAAGATGTTTTTTTCAATTAACGAAAACCTGTGCAACAGGCCGACACAGTCATTCCTCCGGTACAACGATAAAAGCTGGATCGAAAATGTTTGTACAACTAATGGAGGGAAGATCTATAAGGAAAACCTGTGCATCAGCAACCACACGTTCTCCTTCATAACAGTGAGGATAAAGCAGGGCTGTGAAATCAGTAGCATCACCGGAGAGACCAAGCACATCATCCTGGCGTGTGACAAAATCGACAATGTTTGCAGGCCGGTTCACTTTGAGGGAAACCAAAATAACCTACAGCCAAATCGTACGGCTCAAGGCTGTCAATAGCACTAGCCTGTTTCAAGTGCCGAAATGTCCACAGTCACAGCAGCCTTGCTTATAGCATCCAGAATATTTCATGCAAAGTTTTCATTAGTATAGACGCTTTATGCTCCTATTTAGAAAATGCATGTCTAATATGTTAAGAATAATGTTCAAATTGCAGAAAGTAACGCATCTGTGGAATGATACAGAAAAATGCTATGTTATGCCAGATGGACCCTGCACTCTGAAAAAGCACGTTCCAATGTACCTGTTCTTGTACTTGTACAAATGGAAANTGAATAAAAGGAGCCTGTATCTTCTCCCTCTTCAGGTTTTTCAGGCAAAATGAAGCTTGTTCTTCTCCAAACACTCTGCTTCGCTATTCTATGGGTCGGCGTGGCCCCCAACCACAGGGGTGACATAATGTATGGGCTTTCCCAGGCTGAAGCCCAGGGGCCTCCGCTAAAAAGCAGCCTCACCAAGGGGCTCCAGTTGGCAACTTCTACTGTCGCCACCCCACCCCCCGCGGATGACAACATTTACCTTGGTGGGGGCCCTGAAAACCCCCAACCCTGCATGACTACCAGGAACAACAATGCCTACAACATCTTCCTGGCAAAGCATGTCCGCAATGACACCCCAATCAACGAGGACATGGCAGCATGGAAGAGGTTTTTTTCACATAACCAAAACCTGTGCAACAGGCCGACACAGTCATTCCTCCGGTACAACGATAAAAGCCTGATCAACAATGTCTGTACATCAAATGGAGGGAAGATTTATGAGAGAAACCTGTGCATCAGCAACCGCACGTTCTCCTTCATAACAGTGAGGATAAAGCAGGGCTGTGAAATCAGTAGCATCACCAGAGAGACCAACCACATCATCCTGGCGTGTGACAAAATCGACAATGTTTGCAGGCCGGTTCACTTTGAGGGAAACCAAAATAACCTAAAGCCAAATCCTAAGGCTCCAGGCTGTCAATACCACTAGCCTGTTTCAAGTGCCGAAATGTCCACAGTCACAGCAGCCTTGCTTATAGCATCGAGAATATTTCATGCAAAGTTTTTATCAGTATAGACGCTTTATGCTCCTATTTAGAAAATGCATGCCTAATATGTTAAGAATAATGTTCAAATTGCAGAAAGTAACGCATCTGTGGAATGATACAGAAAAATGCTATGTTATGCCAGATGGATCCTGCGCTCTGAAAAAGCACGTTCCGAAGTACCTGTTCTTGTACTTGTACAAATGGAAAATAAAGCTTCATTTCATTGCATTTGATTCCATTTCATTATAATCACATTATGAAATCTGTGTGCTGTTATAAAACAAGGGGCAATTTCAAACTACCAACTTGCTTGTGGTCTTACCAACGAATAATTTTCTATTTCATGATGGAGAAAACACGTCTATGTTTAATATACTTTAACATTTCTCACCTGTTAAACTGGGTGAAAAAGGAGACAATGAACTCCGTGTCAGGCCTTCATGTAAGTCTCTCAGCTCTGAGAGAGAACCCTGTGTTTGTGAAGTATAGGCACAGGTTCACTGCCACCTACTAGTCGACCATATACCACTGTTTCTCTTTTTTATTATTTATATGGCAAAAAGGGCTTAAACAAGAATTTATTAACATTTGTCACGCCCAAAAGTCAAGTTCAGGGGGGATGGTGAATTTTATCATTTATCAGACATATTTTGTGCTGATGACAGTGCACATGGTGGGAGACCAACTGTGTACCCTTTTTATTGTTGTTTAAGCAAAAACATAATTAATATATTCTTCTATCCTAAAACAACATGCATGGTGTGGATGTTACGTGTCAGATACTCCTGTCATTGATCCTGACCGAGGCACCTCAGAATTGGAGTCAGTCCCCTGCCTGGCATAGCTATCCCATGCTCCATAGTTAGGGTCAAATGCAGAGGACACATTTTCCCACTTGGTTCAAGTGCAGCTTCATACTCATGGTACTTTGAAATCTTTTGGTAATTCATCTATTAAAATTCAAAACAAAACCTCAGAAAACATTGTAAATGAACATCTGAATCCTCTCGAGTCAGGTCAAGTCCATTTCCAATTCAAATGCAAAAACAAAAGAATGAAACCATTGAAACAATTTACAAAATCTGAAAATGAATCTTACAAATTACACAAATATATAGCACAAACTTAAACTGAAGGAAATTGTCACAAGAAAGATTTGAGACAGCCTTGCACTCGCAGCGCCTTTGTACAGTCTTCTTTACCGGAAAGAGGAAATGCATTACGTAGTGATTTGACAGTATGAAGAAGCTGTATTGTATTTTCTTTAATGACATATCAGTTATTTAAAAAAGCACAAAGCTTATCTAATGCACTGACTGAGCAATTTGAAGAATGTACAGTATATGTGTCATATTGACGATTGTACAATTTCTACCATAGCTAACTTAGTTTACTTGCATAAAACATTACGCATTACTTCTGTACTAATTACCAGATCAGATCTGTAGAGGAAAAAAACAGGCAAATATGAAACATAAATTGTTATTGCTGGTGTGATGTTGATCAAGTTTGCGTACAAACGTTTCTTTGCGTGGTTTCTAGTTTGTAAAGTACACAAAATCTCTCTCAATCGGATCTATCTGTACTGACCAGCTACAAATAGCTGCTTTCCTAAATTTTTTTTCTGCAGCGATGAATTATAACATGTAACAGACTTTTTATGTGTATTTCACAGTACTGTTACAATCCAATTATTACATTATCAAAAACATGACATTGTGTATTTTTTTCTTTTTTCGCACTGTTCTGTTTCCTGTGCACTAGGAATTGTGGGATACGGCAGTGGTAGTGGAATCGCGCGAGCCACCATCGTTGCTGACTCTCTTCAGGAGGGCATAATCGACCACTCCCCCTTTGCTCTTGCTGCTTTGAGACACACTTCAACATGGCGACGGGTCTCGGGAACGCTCAAACGAAGGCGGAGTGGTGAGGCGGAGTGTGTAGGGACCGGTTTGGGATTGGGCCCGTGTCTCACGACGGCCAGGTACTCGGCCGTTCGAGTGTTTTCAGCACCAGAAGGAAGCCTACGAACACAAAAATGAGGAATGTAAGATGTAACGGTGCCGCAACCAGCACAACCCTCCAACCCTCCAACCCTTGTAGTACACAGGGAGTAGGCAAAGGCAGACAGCCCCAAGAGTAAAGTTTATTGGTAAATAAATCACACACACCCAACTACAGGAAGGACAGCCCACGTCCCACTCGTACAGGTTAAACCCCCCGGTTAACCAAGTCCTAGTGGACACCCCCTCACAGCCCAGCCTCAACCAGGGTCCCAGGCGAATACCACAACCCCCTGGGGCGGCCAATATGAATTAGTCACTCTTTAACACACACCACACCCTTGGTAGTTGCACCACTCTCTAACGCACGTCAAAGCTTCAAATAGAGGAGCATCTGTATTGTAAAAGTGGGTCCCCAACCATGTTGCAGGTAATGATCAAGCGGAGTCGGTTGCAGGTTTTAACCACTTGGTGGCGTTTATTGTACCAATACCACTCTCACTCACAACGCACTCACACTGCCCACTGTGCCCGTCACCCTGCTTACTCCTAATATGCATGGTTAACACACACACACACCGACACGCTATGTACAATAATAACCATTTAGCACTATACGTGACCTAACACCTCACATTTAAATTGCACAGAAATGACTATGGAGAACTATTTAAGGCTGACATCAGTCCAAACTGCCATGCTGCCCACCAGTACCTCCGCGCTACAGTATTTACACCTCAGACTTCACTTACAACACTGACTCATGCCACTTGTACAAATTCTCAGACAGCACAGCAATAGTTAGTGGAGGGCAGGAGAATGACTTTGTGAAGGACTTTGTGGAGTGGTGCAAACTCAACAAACTAATCAAAAAAGCTGGCTTAGTTCTGGGAGTCACTCTTGACTCACTACAGACTGTGGTGGAACAGAAGAGCCTTAGGAAACTACTGGTTATACTGGAGAATGACCCCCCACTCTCTGCAGGTCATCTTGGCCAAGTAGAGGAGCAGCTTCAGCAACAGCTGTGCTGCTCCAATGAGCATATTTAAGGTGGTTTCTACCCTTGGCCATTAGGTTCTACAATAAGTCACCATATGGCAAGGGGGGGACAGCCAACTGTCTGAAATGACTAAAACCACTTCAGTATATTCACACACACATTCACTCGTTCACTGTACATGTCACAGACTGAGCCGTGACGGTGCACCAGTACTACAGAATCAGTGAAAGCCGCTATGCACCGTCACTGAAAGAACACTTGAGTTTTTCCGCTACTGTGCTGCTCATATATATAACTTTTATACAGGTTTAATTTTTCATTCTAGATCACTGTTCAATGTAACAAACTCCCTGTCTGTGTGCTGGGTTGGGGTGTCAGGAAAAGCCTTCCAACATCTACAATAATCTGTTATGTTACAAACTCCATCTGTTTTATGGAAATATGACAATGCATTCATTCGGCTGTTCACAGTATTTGCATTAACTGAAGTTTTACAAATACATTTCTGTATCACTATCTAGGATCACCTCCATTCTGTATTTGACTGATGCAGAGGTGGGGGTCCATGCACTGTAGAAATATGTATTTCCTTCACTTCGCAGTTGACAGACTTTTCATTTGGATTAGAGTTTTTTTGTACAGTATAGATTTAATCGAGTTAAAAGGAAAAGGAAGAAATAAAAATAGCAGAAAACATTACTTCTGATCTCCTCACCTGCCTCTATCTGCCATCCATCACAACAGTACTACCTACTGTGCTATTCTATCCATCCATCTCGATCCATCCATTCTTCCATCCATCCATCCATTCATCCAATTTTGATTCATGCCTCCACACTGGCCAACCTTTAGGGGGCACTATTGCTACTCATCTAGCTGCTTAGGGATGATCTGGATCCCTCCACTGTTTTTTCCAGCAAACTACATAGATATGGCCCGCTCGCTGTGCACAAATATTAAATGTATGTTTTATAAATGAACAAAATGAAATACTAGCACATCATGCTGCCTGACCACTAGGGGTGTAGTAGCATTTTTTTGCAGTCTTGGTCTCGTCTCGCAATCAACTTTATTTTGACTTGGTCTTGTCTCGGTCTCAAACACAGAGGACTCAAGGTTTTATTTAAAGGTCACTCAAGACCACTCATAAAAACACCTCAAAATATTACAGCTTAATATCCATCTGTTTGTTAACACAGTACTGTGATTGGGTGTAAAACATTCTGCTTCAAAGCTCAAATGCAACCAAAAAGGTGTCTTATTTGAAGAAATGTTACTTTTGTACAGAAACATTTATATTGTAATTTTATTAAATAACATCCATGGTTCAAATTATACTGTGACATAATATTAGGCCATACTGCCTAGCTCCAAGATGGTGCTGATGCTCTAAATTTTATAGTGTGTTCTATTATGTAGACTCAATCTGATCTTGACTTGGTCAAAAAAATTTCTTGGTCTTGCCCTGCCTTGGTCTTGATCTTGTCTCGGTTTCGATACATTCAGGTCTTGGTTCTGACTTAGTATCAGTTTACGTGGTCTTGACTACATCACTACTGACCACTAGGAGGAGCTGGAAACAGTTACTGGGAGAAACACTAGGGGTGAGCCCAGTACCTGACTGAAATGGAGAATTCAGTGCTTCTTTACGTTTTCTGTTGTGCATTGTATTATGTGTGTTTTAAAGTCTCTTGGTTAGACGCAGGTTTGGATGGTATTATGGTACCAAAATTAGATACCCCCCAAGCCTACTTAGACAGCTTGTGTACTTACCGTAGTTCACGTTGCGCTTACTCTTTCTCCCTTGTGTGCATTTTACATTAAGCCATGGTATACAGTATTTTAGTGGTATTTTCAAGCAACATGTTGACTTATTGTTAACATACAGGCCTATGTGTGCCTACATATTTGAGTTATTTTATGCTGATTTAAGATTTTAGTCCTGCAGGCTAACTACAGAAGGCTGTAGGGTTCAGTTCTGAATATGTTAAAATGCAAAATGAAAACAATAAAAAATGGCCACAGTACAATTTGATATTGTTTGTATCTGCTGAGCCAATTTTGGAGTGGCTGATCGCTCATTGTTTTTGTGGAAAGAAGCTTAAAAATAATTTAGGGGAGTGAGGCATTGTGGGATTGTTGTTGTGTCTTGCTAGAGGTGGGTATTTCAGGCCCAGAAAGTAAAAATCCACACCAGGATTTTGTTTCAACAACCAGTTGCATAT